GAGAACCAAAAAAGAACTTAATATGAAAGAAAACCAAAAGTAAACTTCAAAAAGAAATTAAACTATTACCAAGATGAAGATGAAAAAAATACTCTTCACAAGATGAAGAAGAAGAACCACAACCTTCTACCTTCACAAAACCAAATAGTGAAAGAAATAAAAAATATAATTCTTTCTATTAGGAGATCTGCCTAGTGTTTAGAACCAATCTCTATACAAACAATATGGTTATACTAGAGAATGTATAAATATGTATCAATTATACAATATCAATAATCTCAAATGTATTAATCCAAATTTATTAAATAAAGGATCATATTTAAATAACCAGTATACAATATGTTCTGCCAAAGAAAACTTATCAAAAAAAATGAAAAAGAAAGCATCAGAAAATTCTGATTACCAATATTTACTCAAAGACTATAAATTTGTGAAAGATCCACAAATGGTTCCAAACGAACCAAAAGAAAAGAAAGCATATTACTTCATAGCATTAATAAATAATCAACCAACCAAAGTATTACTCGATGAAGAAGCAAGTGCTAATGTTATAGGATTAGATCTAGCACGAGAATATAATCTACTCAAATTATTAAAAGAACCACCTACCAGGATAGCACAATTACCTGGAGGAAAAGTAATCAAAAACTACAGAAAGATTTTAGTACCTTTTCAAGTAGATGGATATAAAGAAAACCTTAAAGTAACAATCATTGAAGAAAACCAAGCATATATTCTACTCTCTAAAATCGATCAAGCACGATTAAATATATCTAAAGATCGAAAAAAACACATTATTCTTATACATGGTAAACCAATAAACTATCAAGATATTGATAAAAATTATCAAATTTCTAAGAGGTTTAGGTATTATGATCAAGTCTCTATTCGTAATGACCTAGTTTCTCGGGTACCTCTCCAAACCTTGAGATTAAGCGAGTTCAAGCTAGCCAAATATCTCGAAAAATGAGATACCCCTCAAAAATTGGAAAAAAACCCACAAAAAGCACCCAACGTGGTATCTAAAACAGACTACAACCAACCAAGAATAGTGCCAAATCATACTGGTCACCAAAGATTTATATTAAAAAAGGCTCCCAGTACTCTAAAATGGGTAAAACAAGAATATTATAATCTAAAATATAAAAAATTAATCAATGAATTAATACCTTATTCATTTAATGAACAACTTAATCTGTTAAAGAAACAAGTAGAAAGAAATAAATGAAAAAACAAATTAATAGAAACCACTTGTGATAGCAGATAGTTAGAAATAGTAAGAACTGCTTTAGCTACAGATTCTAATATCCTTCAAATCTTCTTAACGTACAAAGAATTAAATGGCAATTCAAGAATGAACAAGAAAAGAGATATGCCAAATTACAAAATAGCAAACCTGATAAAACAGAAAACAACAATATCATAATGGGCAACAAGAATATTTGGGTAAAAATGGTACTACATATTACCTTGAGTTTGTATATTAATTAACCATTGTATGGGCACAATGGTAAAAGAAATTGAAAAATAAATAGGATATTACAAGAACTGGCAAGAGCGCAAGAAATGAATATTAGATGGGCTATAATACATATAGGTACCTTAGCTGGAGAAAAGAAATGTCAGATGTGATTGATAATATTAACGAGATATTACGTGTAATAAACAAGAACCGATAGAATATCAGATTAATATTAAAAAATTCAGCTAGCAACAATTGCTTTGGTGCAACCATTCCAGACCTCATAGATATAGTGAATAGTACAAGTCAAGAGTTAAGATATAAAGATAAGGCAAGACTAAAGAAGCGAATAGGCATATACTTTGATATGCAGCACTGGTATGTTGCAGGGCAAGGCAAGAGAATCGATGAATATCGAAATGTACTAAGAATGTACGGACAAGAAATCATGCTAGTACACATAAACAACAGCCCACTGGAAGTGATATTCAGTAGAGGAATGGACAAATATGAGCACCTATTGGATCTACAAGCAAGTATACAACAAGAAGTATACCAAATGATTATATAGTATAAAGAGGTCTATGCTGCGGTAGTAGAGACACCATGAAATGAAATAGCTAATCAAAAAGCACAAATATATGAAATCTCTAAACTAAGATAATGGGCAGGAAATACATTTCGAGAAAAAACACTCCAAGAAGAGTGGTCTAAAGGGAAAGACCAAGAATTAAAAGAACACAAAAATCAGTATGAAGGACCAGGATCATCAGGAATAACAATTCTATTGGGAATGGAATTTGATGACCCAGAAGTAACATTACTTGCAGAACAAGTACAACGAATGACAGTTGGAGCGGAACATGAAGTACCGCAAAATAAACAAGAAAAGAAACTTAATCAACTCTATCTAGAAGCTGTACAAAGAGAAATAAATCAATTTAGAGAACAAGTAATAGGAAAAGACAATACTAAAAAAGATAAAAAAGGAAAAGCTAAAAGCTTAAATATTACCTTTAATCAACAAGAAGGAAGCAAAGTCAAAATACCAAAAATGTGAACATTTATTAAAACACAATTGTCACAATTAGATCGAATCTTATAATTAGAAAAGAAACAAGAAGATCCAAGAATTAGAACAGGATTAAAACAACTAAAACAACGATTAGATAGTATGGAAACAAATTATAAATACGTTTCCCAATTAATGAGGCAACAAACTGATGAACACATCTAAGAAATTGAAAGAGTCACAAATAGGAAAATATTGGAAGCAGAAATAGCTGAAGACAAAAAAGCTTATCTATACAAAACAATATCCGCATTAACAGAAACAAAAGATACTATTCTTTGAAAGAATAGAGACCTAGTAAAAGATCTAGAAGAAGAATATGGATATGCAACTAACCAAGCACTAAACTTGGACAGAAAAGATTTTGAAGCAATGCAAGAATATGAACAACAAATCTTAATGGAAAGATTCGCCAGACAAATAGAACTATGTAGAAGCGAACTATTACGAAAACAATACCAGGAAAAATATAAAAAACTATTAGGAGTATCTCTAGAAAACTTAGATAAAATGCATAATATAGAAGATGAAGAAGAATTAATGTTCAAAGAACAACAACGAGCCAGAATCATTACCACTAAAACATCCATATCATGAAGAATATTTATCAACAATAAACAAACCATGAGAAACAGAACAAATGGCAGACAGATGGCTATTAGACGAAAACTTCGGAAGAACATTAGAATGGCTAAATAAGCAAGATAAAAATCAATACTCAAAAATACCAAAACAACCAATATTAAGAACAACAACAA